CCTGACATACCGCTCGTGCCTCAGGGCTGTTCCGCCTAACGTCGTTACTCACCTCCTGTTGTTCTCATAAATGTTTGATCATCAGCTTTATGATTTGACCTAAAAGGACTGAAGTGTTTACAGAGTAAACGATCCTCAGCAGACACAAAGCATGCAGAACGAAGACGTGACAACTCCCTGTCAACCAAAGGTTCTGGTCCTTAGATCAGTAACTCACGGTCTTACTGTGTCCCACCTCCGCGGTGATGGAGGGCTGCGAGGGACCCTGCTTATGCAGTTCAACAAGCCGTCCATGTTCTAAAACGGAACGTCCTTTTGTCTAGACCTCATGACATGTGACACCTGGCAGAAAACGAGGATGGATCCGCGTTTGTCACAGAGACGCTCCCATTTCTTCTTCTGCATATTAAAGCTCTACTTGGAACCTTGTTTAGATCCAACCATGCAGAACAGGATTTTGGTCATGTGGTCTTGAACTTTTGGTCGGGACAGTATTTGTCTCTTTATGGTATATTAGGCCTGGACACAACACTGAATCGGCCCTGCTAAGGGTCCTGAATGACATGGGTTTTCCTGTGGCACTTCTTTTATTGGACCTTACGGCAGCGTTTGACATGGTGGACTGTGATACACTGCTTGATTGGAACTATGTGTGGGGATCACTGGGTCTGCCCTTGAATGGTTTTGTTCCTACCAATATGGTAAGAGGTTCTGTGTGATTGAGGGAAGCGCTCTCTTCTTGGGAGGCTCTGCGCTGGGGCGTTCTGCAGGGCTCAATTCTCGGACCACTGATTTTTGCTATTTATTTGTTGCCGTTGGGGGTCCATCTTCTGCAGACATGTCAGTAAGTTCCACTTATACACTGACGACTGCCAGATCTATTCTCCACTGTGTCTGGGGAACGGAGTACCTTTTTTAAACCTTGAGGCCTGTGTGAATGAGGTCAAGGAATGGCTTGCAGCTAATTTCCTGTACCTTAATGAACGTAAAATGGAATTTATCATGTTTCACCCAAGCTGCAGCTCAGATTTAGGTTCTACTGTTGATTTGTGCACCTTCTCATCCCTCCAGAAGCCAGTTGTCACTAGCCTGGGGTTGAGACTTGACTCTGCTCTTAGATTGGACTCATGTCAACTCAGTAGTTCAGTCTTGCTTTCAGTTACGTCGCCTTACTAAACTCCAGCCTATTCTTTCTCTCTAAACTCTCTAAACGTTCTCTCTCAAGTCCTCCAAACACACCCACATCACCCCGCTTCTCCTCCAGCTTCACTGGCTGCCAGTCAATTTCAGGGTTCATTTCAAGATCCTGGTTCTGGTCTATAGGGCCTTACATGGACAAGCACCATCTTACATTGGTGATCTTCTTAGTCCCTACACCCCCAGCAGGTCCCTGAGGTCCAGTGATCAAAGCCTACTGGTTGTGCAGCACCAGGCTAAAGGTCAAAGGTGACAGATCATCTGCTGCTGTGGCCCCCAGACTCTGGACCTCTCTCCCCCTGAGCCTGAGATCAGTGGACTCAGTGGTCTCCTTTAAAAAGCAGCTGAAGACTCACTTGTTCAAGCTGGCTTTTGTATGACCTTCTTCACCTCTCTCTCTTTATTCTGCTCTCCCCACCTATTCCACCTTCCTCAGGATCCACTGATTTCCCTCTTTCCTGTTCACTCTCTCTCTTTTTTTACATTTTTTAATCACAATTGTCTATTTTTGCTCATTTTAAATATATTTTTAAACATTTTCTAAATGCTTCTTTATAGTTTTACATTTTTGTTTTTGTGAAGCGCCTCGTGATTTTTATCTTGAGAGGCGCTATAGAAATTATATTTTCTTCTTCTTCTTCTTTCCAGAACTCACTCGGAGCGTGTACTCCATGCGTTTGTGATCTCTAGGCTTGACTATTGTAGCTCCCTCCATGCTGGGTTGGGTCAGACTATTGTGCATCGCCTGCAGTTAGTGCAGAACAGTGCTGCTAGGTTTTTGACTGGAACTAGGAAAAGGGACCACATTTCTCCAGTGCTGGATTCTCTTCACTGGGTCCCAGTCTCCTACCGGGCACAGTTTAACATTCTGCCTTTTGTGTTTAAGTATTTCCAAGGTGGTGCCCCCACCTACTTAGCAGAGCTCTTAATAAAGCATGTTCCCTCAGGGTCATTACGGTCGGCTGACCAGAATTGCTCATCGTCCCTCGCATCCGATTTAAGACTCGTGGTGATCGGGCTTTTCAAGTCCTTGCACCCTCTCTCTGGAACCAGCGCCCACTCACAATCAAACAGTCCCCATCACTGGCAGTCTTTAAGAGCAGGTTGAAGATCCTTTCTATAGGATGGCCTTCTCCCAAAGCTTTTGGTTTCTGGTTTTTATTTTTTTGTTCTTAACTTTCTTTTAACTAATTAATTTAATTTTTTTAATCAAATTTTTATCTCATTGGCATTTCTCATAAATGTCTACGTTCTTATTTTGCTTTTAATATTTTTATGACTTGCTACTTTTATCTTTGTTACTTTTCTTGTCCAGCGCCTTGGGCCCCCTTTGAGGGTGGTGGAAAGCGCTATATAAGTAAAACTTGATTAATTATTTACATGCCTCAGTTCCACATCTCACAGTACTGCTAAATTATCATTAAAACACTAGCTAATTAACACTTAGGCTCCGCCCTCAGCAGGGTGGGGGTCCTAGTTTGCTGTCAGGGTGGCACTGGCCCACCCTGGACCCCTCTAGAACTGCCCCTGCATAAAGGTATTTTTAATGACTAAATATTCTGGATTAATAATTTGATTTCTCTTTAGTTACATGCCAACAGACTCGGTAAAAATACTTGATTACTCTAAAATTTAACAGCTGCTCCAGAAAAAAGACAGTCTGACATCCTAGACTGAATAAAACATGTTATTACACAAACTGAGATACAACACAACACTTGACAATTAATAGAGTGTGACATTTACATGAATGTCAGCATTTATTGGCAGGTTAGTGACTAAAGCACCAACACCCAGCTAGTTTCAGTGTTCTCTAACTCCGTCTGTCTGTGACTGTGTGTGAGGGAGTTTCCAAAATGCCTCAAAAGGTTCTCAGCTGCTCCGCGAATCACAGCAAGGCCCTTGTCCAGGTGTAACCCCGCCTCTCGCCCAGTAACAGGTAGAGTCAGCAGCTCCAGCAGCACCCTGATCTGGAAAAGTAATCAGTAGAATAAAAACAAGGAATCTGTTCAGGAAACCTCATCATCATCATCATCGAGCTTCGTTTATAAAGGACGTGTAACGATCACAGCGATACATCGAAGTGCTGAAAACGTACAAAAGCAGCCAAGTACCACATCACTTCTACATCACTTCCACATCACTTCCACATCACTTCTACATCACTTCCACATCACTTCTACATCACTTCCACATCACTTCTACATCACTTCTACATCACTTCTACATCACTTCCACATGACTTCTACATCACTTCTACATCACTTCCACATCACTTCTACATCACTTCTACATCACTTCTACATCAGTTCTACATCACTTCTACATCACTTCTACATCACTTCTACATCACTTCTACATCACTTCCACATCACTTCTACATCACTTCTACATCACTTCTACATCACTTCCACATCACTTCTACATCACTTCTACATCACTTCCACATCACTTCTACATCACTTCCACATCACTTCTACATCACATCTACATCACTTCTACATCACTTCTACATCACTTCTACATCACTTCTACATCACTTCTACATCACTTCCACATCACTTCCACATCACTTCTACATCACTTCTACATCACTTCCACATCACTTCCACATCACTTCCACATCACTTCTACATCACTTCCACATCACTTCTACATCACTTCTACATCAGTTCTACATCAGTTCTACATCACTTCTACATCACTTCCACATCACTTCCACATCACTTCTACATCACTTCTACATCACTTCCACATCACTTCTACATCACTTCTACATCACTTCTACATCACTTCTACATCAGTTCTACATCAGTTCTACATCAGTTCTACATCACTTCTACATCACTTCTACATCAGTTCTACATCACTTCCACATCACTTCCACATCACTTCTACATCAGTTCTACATCACTTCTACATCACTTCTACATCACTTCTACATCACTTCCACATCACTTCCACATCACTTCTACATCACTTCCACATCACTTCTACATCACTTCTACATCACTTCCACATCACTTCTACATCACTTCTACATCACTTCTACATCACTTCTACATCAGTTCTACATCAGTTCTACATCAGTTCTACATCAGTTCTACATCACTTCTACATCAGTTCTACATCAGTTCTACATCACTTCCACATCACTTCCACATCACTTCCACATCACTTCTACATCAGTTCTACATCACTTCTACATCACTTCTACATCACTTCTACATAACTTCTACATCACTTCCACATCACTTCTACATCACTTCTACATCACTTCCACATCACTTCCACATCACTTCTACATCACTTCCACATCACTTCCACATCACTTCTACATCACTTCTACATCACTTCTACATCACTTCCACATCACTTCCACATCACTTCTACATCAGTTCTACATCACTTCCACATCACTTCCACATCACTTCTACATCACTTCTACATCACTTCTACATCACTTCTACATCACTTCCACATCACTTCCACATCACTTCTACATCACTTCCACATCACTTCTACATCACTTCCACATCACTTCTACATCACTTCCACATCACTTCTACATCACTTCTACATCACTTCCACATCACTTCTACATCAGTTCTACATCAGTTCTACCTCACTTCTACATCACTTCTACATCACTTCTACCTCACTTCCACATCACTTCTACATCACTTCCACATCACTTCTACATCACTTCTACATCACAACACAGTAATGAAACATCTAGTTAAAGCTGCAACGGCTAGTCTGGAAAAGCTTCAAATGTGTTGTCATGCCTCCTACCAGCGTTCTAACACCGTATAGCTACAGTATAAACACCGTGTAGAGATAAAGAGATGAAGTGGTTCTCTCACGTTTGTCTAAAACCCTCCACCAATAACATGCTTTGGACCGAAAGCAACGATTGGACCATCCGGTTGTCGGTGTCACCGAGCCGCCACCCTGCCCTCGTCTTCAGCACCAGAACACCGCTGATGTGAGAGTTTCAGACTGTGTAAAAGCATGCAACGCCTTACTGGTGAAGAACACTCTGACATCATAAACAAGATTAAATGTGTTTTATCAGTGTGAGTCAATCCCGTTTGACGCAAACTCATGAAGGTGATTTCATCCAGAGGACTCAGGTGAGGCTGGATTAGACTCATTTCTCTCCTCCAGGTCTAATTTAATCTCCAATCCCGTTTCCTCTCCCTGAAAACCCTCTGAGCCCCGCCACGTGCCCTGCAGGTGTTCCCAGATCTGCCGTAATCAGAGCAGGTGCCGGCTTTTTCATTGTCCCACTGAGAAAATCCTGATTACTGATGGAAGTGTGTGTGTGTGTGCGCGTGCGTGTGTGTGTGTGTGTGTGTGGGTGGCTGTTTGTAGGTTAGCGAAAGATTGCTGTTGCTGTAGATAAGAGGATTAGAGTGGAATTAGTGTCATTCCTCTATCGCCGCGAGGAATGGATTCATATCGATTTTAATCAGAGAGAGAAGCAGCCAACTGGAGACAAAGCAGACGGATTCAGAGGAGAGGACAGGGATGAGCTGACGGGGAGGAAGGAGGGAAGAAGGTTCCTGCAGGACGCTGCTGCTGGATGCTGAGGAGCTGCTGTAACTCCAGCTGAGAGGAGAAACTTCCAGGATTCCCTCATGTCTTTGCTCTGGTGACATCCCAGAGCTGAGGAGGAGGAACCGTCCAGCCGGAGCGGGAATGCCGAGCCAGAACCTTTAAGCCTTCATCCTGGATGGTCTGACTGCCGAGTCCTGGAGGTGGAGCAGCTGCGGCGGGGATGCTGCGGTCGCCTCGGCTTTGGCAGGCAGACCCTTGAAACATGAAAGTGGATGCTCTGACTTGCCTTGCTCTGGTCACTTTTGTTGCCGTGGTGACCGATGGTCGCTCGAGTCGCAGGAGGCACAAGGAGGTCTTCCTCGGGGAAAACAGCAGGTTCAAGTTCGGAGGGTGAGAAACAGACTTTTATTTACATCAAATGAAATCAAATCAGGATGAAGTCTGAGTTTTTCTGGTGCTCTGAAGGATCCTGGAGCGTATTTTTCTGAATAAAAGATAAAAGGTTTTAAAAATGGTGGCAGACGGATACAGGAAATCCTCTCATCTCTAAAACAAACCAACATTCCCATCATGTCCTACATTCGTGTAGCTCCAGGTTCAGCAGAAGCTCCGACATCATTCTGTTTACCTGTGAGGTACAGGTGAGCAGCTGCAGGCAGAACCCAGGGTTTGTTTAACCCACGCGCTGCAGGATGAGACCTCCGTAAAGAGTATGATGGTTCAGGAACCAGAAGAGAATCAGGAGAATCAGCGGATTCATGAGCGAACCCAAACAGCGACCAGTGATGGAAAGATGTTTCCCAAAGGTCTGAAAAGATGTAAACATTTGCAAATGTTGCTTTGCTAAGACTTTTTATACCTTAAGAAAGTTAATAAATCATAATTTTATTTATTTTAGATTTTAAATTCCTTTGGGACAAAGACAAAGTAATAATAATGTGTTAAAGTCGTTCATGTTCCTTTAATAAGGCCTAAAAAGTTGACTAAAATGTTCATTACCTCTCTTCTTTCTTTGTTTCTGTATTAAACACAAGACAAAATATTTCAATATAAACTTCAGTAAAGTTTTTAAAAGCTGCGAAAGTTTAAATTTCCTCTTTAAATAATTTCAGATGAAAGGGAGACTTTGCAGTTTTGTCTTGCTTTTAGCTCCCTCTAGTGTCCAGTTAGTGAAACTAAAAGTGAAACTTATCTCCTCGCTGTGCGTTTGTCTTCTTAACACCTTCGTCTAACAGCTGAAGTGTCTCCTCAGCTCTCGTTAGTCTCTACAGGAGTCATTCATCACTAAATGAAACAAATCAGCTGTGGTCATGATCTAAGACCTGCAGGAACCCGTCATCATGCAGGAACCCGTCTCATCCTGCAGGAACCCGTCTCATCCTGCAGGAAACTGTCTCATCCTGCAGGAACCCGTCTCATCCTGCAGGAACCCGTCTCATCCTGCAGGAACCCGTCATCCTGCAGGAACCCATCTCATCCTGCAGGAACCCGTCTCGTCCTGCAGGAACCCGTCATCCTGCAGGAACCCGTCATCCTGCAGGAACCCATCTCATCCTGCAGGAACCCATCTCATCCTGCAGGAACCCGTCTCATCCTGCAGGAACCCGTCATCCTGCAGGAACCCGTCATCCTGCAGGAACCCGTCTCATCCTGCAGGAACCCGTCTCATCCTGCAGGAACCCGTCATCCTGCAGGAACCCGTCTCATCCTGCAGGAACTCGTCATCCTGCAGGAACCCGTCTCATCCTGCAGGAACCCGTCTCGTCCTGCAGGAACCCGTCTCATCCTGCAGGAACCCGTCTCATCCTGCAGGAACCCGTCTCGTCCTGCAGGAACCCGTCATCCTGCAGGAACCCGTCATCCTGCAGGAACCCGTCTCATCCTGCAGGAACCCGTCATCCTGCAGGAACCCGTCTCATCCTGCAGGAACCCGTCTCATCCTGCAGGAAACTGTCTCATCCTGCAGGAACCCGTCTCATCCTGCAGGAACCCGTCTCATCCTGCAGGAACCCATCTCATCCTGCAGGAACCCGTCTCGTCCTGCAGGAACCCGTCATCCTGCAGGAACCCGTCATCCTGCAGGAACCCATCTCATCCTGCAGGAACTCATCTCATCCTGCAGGAACCCGTCTCATCCTGCAGGAACCCGTCTCATCCTGCAGGAACCCGTCATCCTGCAGGAACCCGTCATCCTGCAGGAACCCATCTCATCCTGCAGGAACCCGTCTCATCCTGCAGGAACCCATCATCCTGCAGGAACCCGTCTCATCCTGCAGGAACTCGTCATCCTGCAGGAACCCGTCTCATCCTGCAGGAACCCGTCTCGTCCTGCAGGAACCCGTCTCATCCTGCAGGAACCCGACTCATCCTGCAGGAACCCGTCTCGTCCTGCAGGAACCCGTCATCCTGCAGAAACCCGTCATCCTGCAGGAACCCGTCTCATCCTGCAGGAACCCGTCATCCTGCAGGAACCCGTCTCATCCTGCAGGAACCCGTCTCACCCTGAAGGAACCTGTCTCATCCTGCAGGAACCCGTCATCCTGCAGGAACCCGTCTCATGCTGCAGGAACCCGTCTCATCCTGCAGGAACTCGTCATCCTGCAGGAACCCGTCATCCTCCAGGAACCCGTCTCATGCTGCAGGAACCCGTCTCGTCCTGCAGGAACCCGTCTCATCCTGCAGGAACCCGTCTCATCCTGCAGGAACCCGTCTCATGCTGCAGGAACCCGTCTCGTCCTGCAGGAACTCGTCATCCTGCAGGAACCCGTCATCCTGCAGGAACCCGTCTCATGCTGCAGGAACCCGTCTCGTCCTGCAGGAACCCGTCTCATGCTGCAGGAACCCGTCTCGTTCTGCAGGAACCCGTCTCATTCTGCAGGAACCCGTCTCATCCTGCAGGAACCCGTCTCATGCTGCAGGAACCCGTCTCGTCCTGCAGGAACTCGTCATCCTGCAGGAACCCGTCATCCTGCAGGAACCCGTCTCATGCTGCAGGAACCCGTCTCGTCCTGCAGGAACTCGTCATCCTGCAGGAACCCGTCATCCTGCAGGAACCCGTCTCGTCCTGCAGGAACCCATCATCCTGCAGGAACCTGTCTCATCCTGCAGGAACCCGTCTCATGCTGCAGGAACCCGTCTCGTCCTGCAGGAACTCGTCATCCTGCAGGAACCCGTCTCATCCTGCAGGAAACTGTCTCATCCTGCAGGAACCCGTCTCATCCTGCAGGAACCCGTCTCATCCTGCAGGAACCCGTCATCCTGCAGGAACCCATCTCATCCTGCAGGAACCCGTCTCGTCCTGCAGGAACCCGTCATCCTGCAGGAACCCGTCATCCTGCAGGAACCCATCTCATCCTGCAGGAACCCGTCTCATCCTGCAGGAACCCGTCTCATCCTGCAGGAACCCGTCATCCTGCAAGAACCCGTCATCCTGCAGGAACCCGTCTCACCCTGAAGGAACCCGTCTCATCCTGCAGGAACCCGTCTCGTCCTGCAGGAACCCATCTCATCCTGCAGGAACCAATCTCATCCTGCAGGAACCCGTCATCCTGCAGGAACCCATCTCATCCTGCAGGAACCCGTCTCGTCCTGCAGGAACCCATCTCATCCTGAAGGAACCCGTCTCATCCTGCAGGAACCCATCTCATCCTGCAGGAACCCGTCTCGTCCTGCAGGAACCCGTCATCCTGCAGGAACCCGTCATCCTGCAGGAACCCATCTCATCCTGCAGGAACCCGTCTCATCCTGCAGGAACCCGTCTCATCCTGCAGGAACCCGTCATCCTGCAGGAACCCGTCATCCTGCAGGAACCCGTCTCACCCTGAAGGAACCCGTCTCATCCTGCAGGAACCCGTCTTGTCCTGCAGGAACCCGTCTCATCCTGCAGGAACCCGTCTTGTCCTGCAGGAACCCGTCTCATCCTGCAGGAACCCATCTTGTCCTGCAGGAACACGTCTCATCCTGCAGGAACCCGTCTCATCCTGCAGGAACCCGTCATCCTGCAGGAACCCGTCATCCTGCAGGAACCCGTCTCACCCTGAAGGAACCCGTCTCATCCTGCAGGAACCTGTCTTGTCCTGCAGGAACCCGTCTCATCCTGCAGGAACCCGTCTCGTCCTGCAGGAACCCGTCATCCTGCAGGAACCCGTCATCCTGCAGGAACCCGTCTCATCCTGCAGGAACCTGTCTCATCCTGCAGGAACCCGTCTCGTCCTGCAGGAACCCGTCATCCTGCAGGAACCGGTCTCATCCTGCAGGAACCCGTCTCGTCCTGCAGGAACCCGTCATCCTGCAGGAACCCGTCTCATCCTGCAGGAACTCGTCATCCTGCAGGAACCCGTCAACCTGCAGGAACCCGTCTCATCCTGCAGGAACCCGTCTCGTCCTGCAGGAACCCGTCTCATCCTGCAGGAACCCGTCTCATCCTGCAGGAACCCGTCTCGTCCTGCAGGAACCCGTCATCCTGCAGGAACCCGTCATCCTGCAGGAACCCGTCTCATCCTGCAGGAACCCGTCATCCTGCAGGAACCCGTCATCCTGCAGGAACCCATCATCCTGCAGGAACCCGTCTCACCCTGAAGGAACCCGTCTCATCCTGCAGGAACCCGTCATCCTGCAGGAACCCGTCTCATCCTGAAGGAACTCGTCATCCTGCAGGAACCCGTCATCCTGCAGGAACCCGTCTCATGCTGCAGGAACCCGTCTCGTCCTGCAGGAACCCGTCTCATCCTGCAGGAACCCGTCTCATGCTGCAGGAACCCGTCTCATCCTGCAGGAACTCGTCATCCTGCAGGAACCCGTCATCCTGCAGCAACCCGTCATCCTGCAGGAACCCATCATCCTACAGGAACCCGTCTCACCCTGAAGGAACCCGTCTCATCCTGCAGGAACCCGTCATCCTGCAGGAACCCGTCTCATGCTGCAGGAACCCGTCTCATCCTGCAGGAACTCGTCATCCTGCAGGAACCCGTCATCCTGCAGGAACCCATCTCATGCTGCAGGAACCCGTCTCGTCCTGCAGGAACCCGTCTCATGCTGCAGGAACCCGTCTCGTCCTTCAGGAACCCGTCTCATCCTGCAGGAACCCGTCTCATCCTGCAGGAACCCGTCTCATGCTGCAGGAACCCGTCTCGTCCTGCAGGAACTCGTCATCCTGCAGGAACCCGTCATCCTGCAGGAACCCGTTTCATGCTGCAGGAACCCGTCTCGTCCTGCAGGAACTCGTCATCCTGCAGGAACCCGTCATCCTGCAGGAACCCGTCTCATGCTGCAGGAACCCGTCTCGTCCTGCAGGAACTCGTCATCCTGCAGGAACCCGTCATCCTGCAGGAACCCGTCTCGTCCTGCAGGAACTCGTCATCCTGCAGGAACCCGTCTCATGCTGCAGGAACCCGTCTCGTCCTGCAGGAACCCATCGTCCTGCAGGAACCCGTCTCATCCTGCAGGAACCCGTCTCATCCTGCAGGAACCCGTCTCATGCTGCAGGAACCCGTCTCGTCCTGCAGGAACTCGTCATCCTGCAGGAACCCGTCATGCTGCAGGAACCCGTCTCGTCCTGCAGGAACTCGTCATCCTGCAGGAACCCGTCATGCTGCAGGAACCTGTCTCATCCTGCAGGAACCCGTCTCGTCCTGCAGGAACTCGTCATCCTGCAGGAACCCGTCATCCTGCAGGAACCCGTCTCATGCTGCAGGAACCCGTCTCGTCCTGCAGGAACTCGTCATCCTGCAGGAACCCGTCATCCTGCAGGAACCCGTCTCATCCTGCAGGAACCCGTCTCATCCTGCAGGAACTCGTCATCCTGCAGGAACCCGTCATCCTGCAGGAACCCGTCTCATGCTGCAGGATCCTGTCTCGTCCTGCAGGAACCCGTCTCGTCCTGCAGGAACTCGTCATCCTGCAGGAACCCGTCATCCTGCAGGAACCCGTCTCATGCTGCAGGAACCCGTCTCGTCCTGCAGGAACTCGTCATCCTGCAGGAACCCATCGTCCTGCAGGAACCCGTCTCATCCTGCAGGAACCCATCTCATGCTGCAGGAACCCATCTCGTCCTGCAGGAACTCGTCATCCTGCAGGAACCCGTCATGCTGCAGGAACCCGTCTCGTCCTGCAGGAACCCGTCATGCTGCAGGAACCCGTCTCGTCCTGCAGGAACTCGTCATCCTGCAGGAACCCGTCATCCTGCAGGAACCCATCTCGTCCTGCAGGAACCCGTCTCGTCCTGCAGGAACCCGTCTCGTCCTGCAGGAACCCGTCATGCTGCAGGAACCCGTCTCGTCCTGCAGGAACCCGTCATGCTGCAGGAACCCGTCTCGTCCTGCAGGAACTCGTCATCCTGCAGGAACCCGTCATCCTGCAGGAACCCATCTCGTCCTGCAGGAACCCGTCTCGTCCTGCAGGAACCCGTCTCATGGTCATTAACACGGTTAAATGTTTGCTCTAAAATAAAATCTTTTGACATTTTTATTTAAAATTAAATTTTTGTATCAAGGAAAGAAAGATGAATTTAACATTTTTCTTGTCGTAACAGAACAAAACGTATGAATGATTGAATGTGTAACTGAGACCTTTTGGTGTCTAAATCTGTAGAATAACGACGTCAGATTCACCCCACAGGGTTCTCTCTCTCCTGCATCTTAAAACGGTTTAAAGTGACACGATGACCTCATGTCCTCCATCCACTTCCTGTCACACTTTTAAAATGAAAAATTCAGATTTTTATTAGAAATTTGACTGAAAAACTGTTTCAATAAAAACATTTTAATTAATACTTTTTAAATCCAACCATTACACCAGCAGTCTGGAGGTGACAGATTAGTGGACAGTAAAGAATCATCTTCAGTCCGTGGGAACGGCCTGTTCTGAGCCTTCAGACGACGCTCAGGGCTGAATCTGAGCAGGCTTGATAGTTAAATTCCCGTTTCCATAACAATGAGGTAAGAATTTAACCTTGAACTGGAGGAAGTCACCGCCGAAGCGTCACGTGACCTGTTGGGAGTTAAAGTGGGATTAGATTAAAACAACGTTCAGATGGATTGTTCTGTTGTGGTTCTGCTCTGTAATCCCAGTAATTTGCTCTAAAGTTCCTACATCAGCACCGCAGAGAACAGCAGGACGCTGACAGGGAATTTCTAAATGGGGTTCTGCTGAAATGTCAGGAGGTCTTCTGGGTCACATAGGCAGTGGAGCTCACCCAGTTCCTCTCAGAGGGGACCGGAGAAGGTTGGGTCTGAGTCCTCCTGCTGTGTCCTGGGTTCATGGGGACCAGATCCAGATCCTAATAAACTGATCCTGGATGTGAGGATCTGGGTTCTGCAGGTGGGATTCCCGAACTCTCCTGATCTCAGTTTGAAGATTCAGGGAGAAAACATGGACATCTAGTTTAGTTTTCCCTGGTTTTAGTTTCACTCCCAGTTCTCGGATCACTGTGGAGTTTTACTGGATTAAAGTAAAACCGTTTTCCTGCAGGATTTTAACCCATCCTGTCTGGAGGTGTGTTTCTGTGCTTAAATAAACCAGACTGACCAGGTTCTGGTTTGGGGGTCGGTTTCATCCTCCTGGAACCAGAAAACTTGGTTCCAGGTCCATTTTAGTTTAATACTCTGGAGAGAAGAATGAGTAGAAACTATTAACTATTAACAAATAATTATTCTTATTAAGTAAAATGAAAGTATTATGCAGTAAAATCTGGAGCCTGCGTGATGAAAAGGTGTCAAAAAGACAAACTAGCTGATTTTATAAATAATATATGTATTTCATAAAATCCAACTCAGAATTAAAGAATCAACAGTTTTTATCTGCTGGTTTTAAAGCTGCACTGCTGCAGTTCTGCGTCTAAACAGCAGGTGTCACTGACGAGAGGAAAACAGCTAAAACTGTCAGTAGAAGAAGAGTTAAGGGTCCGTTATTCATGCTGAAACTTTTCTGCTGTGTTTTGAGTTGAATGCAGGTAAAAGGATCATCGCTGCAGTGACATCTCCTCTGAGACCTGTTGCACTTCAGTAAGACTCAAGGTCCAGACCACGAGTCCAAATCAGGTCACAAGTCTGGCTTAGCCACTCAAGTTGAACCAAGTCCACATTTCTGACAGATTCCAGGCATTGATGATGAATAATGAGCTCCATCAGTCAGGATCTGGACCAGAAGATGTCTGGGTGAGCTCCAGAAAGTCAGTGTGAATATCCGGGCTTTGCATCAAGTTCATGTGGTAAAAATAAAAGCCTCTGAAACTCCTGAGGTGATAAATCTTAGAAACACCTGAGAAGATCTAAAAGCTCTTCAGCTGCAGAGAAGCTGCAAAGTTAGTGAAGCTTTAGAGTTTTAACGTTAGACGTTCATGAAAGAAACATCAGAATCATTTTGTTCACAAAGACCAAAAATAAGACTTTCTAGGCCTGCGGGCAGCAACCAGGAGAAGATGTGCACGTGTGTTTTTGTGTTTGTTAATCTGCGACGCGCCTCGCTGTGGTTCTGGTAGAACCAGAACCAGACCGGACACGAAGAGGAAGCCACAAACGGATCAGACACCCAGTTCCATCCCAGATAACGGCTCTTCCTGCTGTGTGTGTGTGTGCGTGTGTGTGTGTGTGTGTGTGTGTGTGTGTGTGTGTGTGTGTGTGTGTGTGTGTGTGTGTGTGTGTGTGTGTGTGTGTCGGGTTCCTCCTGCAGGAGGATCGATTACAAGCTGAAGAGGCAGGACAGCACCAAGACCCTGCTGATCAAAAGTGAACAACTGCTGAGGATCGAGGAGCACGACTTCGCCATCAGACCTGGCTTTGGAGGTCAGAAACACACACACACACACACACACACACACACACACACACACACACACACACACACACACACACACACACACACACACACACACACACACACACACACACACACACACACACACACTCTCACACACACACACACACACACAAAGGGTTTTGTTCCTGATCCCAGATGATTTAATCCACTCACACATCATCTCCCAGTGATGGGCACCAGGTCACCCAGACAACGGATGTGTCGGTCCAGAAACACTGACCCAGATTGTCCCAGTGTGTGTGTGTGTGTAACATAAATTTAGTGTTCTGATGTGTGTGTTGGTATTGTGTGAGTCGGGGGATGCACGGGCTTTAATCTGGATTATATTCCAAGTCTGGAGCAGCTGGAGGGAATGGAAACAAACTGTCATGGAACAATGCTTCCATGCCGACGCACACCCAGACCAGCTGATGCTGCCTGTTGAACAAAGTTATATCAGCGGTGGAGTAAAAGCTGCTAGCTCCAGAAAAGTCACAAATCTGCGTGTGTCACGCAGCTGAGAACGTTTAGGTCCAATCCAATTGGTTACCCCTACCCCAGCTGACCCCTGACCCTTAAATCTTAATAACAGGATTCAGAGGTCAAAACGCTCCTCTACAAAACTCCTGAGTCTGAGGGTTCATTAGATGTTTGTGATTCTGTCACCGCTAACAGATGTGGTAGCTGTGGAAAGCTAGGGCTTGGTGGCACGTCCTCGCAGTCTACAACGGATAGAGTCGCGTTCAGGTGCAGGGTTCCATTTCTGAGGTTATGGCAGGGTTCCATTTCTGAGGCTGCACTTTAATATTTTTCACAGAGATCGGCCGCGGATTCCTCTTCCGTCGGCATTCTAGAAATCGAAATAAAAAAACTTTGAACGATTTCGAGAAAACTAACAGTCGGAACCGGTTCCAGTCGATGCTCGATGCCCAACCCGCGCTCCAATCATCCGGATTTCTTCCCCTTCCCACGGTCAGCAGACATTTCTGCTTTAACGTTTTGTTTACTTTCAAAACTTTTAAAACGGATTTCTCTGCACACACTAATGAGGTTTTACATGAAGTTGCATCTTTTCTAATTAAATGATGTCACACTGATGAAAACAAAAGCATGAACCAAAGACAGAACTGTTGTTTTCAAACCAAATTATACTTAAAAACTGTGACATTGCATTTGTTTCCTTCTAAAATAGCTGCTTGGGATTATTCTCACAGCGATAATAGGAAAATCATTCAGATTAATAAACCCGGGAAACAGATTTGATGCTGCATCCTTCTGGGATTAAATTCACTTTTTTGCTTGATGGTCCCTTAAATTATGGCATTACATAGAATTTACTTTACAAATTGTGTATTATTATATTTTTAATAGTTAAGGACAGAGTTCATGTTGCCTCTTGGATCTAAACTGTGACCTTTAACCTTTGACCTTTTCACTTACATCACTCATGGTAGGCTGCAGGGATGAAAACATAAACATGGATGTTCAAAGGAGAACAATGATGTCGTTCTTTAGCTGATGGCAGGTTCTTCCTTTTATTGATATTAAATCATCTCTTCGGCCTTCTCTCTGAGTCAAGCACGATTATTTATAATAAACGTTTATGAATCTGCAGCGGGAAGGTCATTTAAGTAAACAACAGTTCTTTGTTCTAAGAGTTATTTTACACATTAAAACTCACCGATGAGAGTTTAATCCTGCTTTTCTGTGTGTCTGTGGTCCGGTCTGTCCTCCAGGGTGGGGACACTGATCTGCTGCATTTCTTCATGTGATAATTTTACACGCAGAAAAAATCTGACACACACACACACACACACACACACACACACACACACACACACACACACACACACACACTCTAAAGGGCCCAGGGCAGCAAAGGCATGAGCATAATACTGTATCTGTATCTGTAATCTCCCGCTTTATATTAAACTAGTGTCCACTTTTCACTCTCTGTCCGGGCGTCCGGGGGAGTTCTTGCATTGATGAAAATGTCCAGCTTTTCATCCAGGAGCAGGGATCGTATTATGGGGGAGCCGGATAAAACGTTTTCTACCTATATTACATCATTCATGGACTCTTCTGAGCAGAGAGCACGTATAGCGATGATCGGTGCGCAGCGCTCCAGGCAGCTGCGTCCAGCGCACGGTCCATTCTCAAAGTGGCACAACCAAAAAACTATAATTAGCACACGATCGTTCACTTCCACACATGTTCTCTATTTTCTGTCTTATTTGTGCCTGAAGCGCTCTGCTACTGCGGAGCTCATCACCTGTGCTGCGGTGATTTCACCTCACTGACGCATCGAAACGCGCTCTCCGCTGTGTGGTCAGGAGATCCCTTTGATCTGCTCAAAAGTAACTGATGAGGTGAAAAAGTAAGAATCCAGGCAACAGATTTTCTGGAGCGTTTAGAGGAGATGCAGGAAGATGAGAGACAGACAGGACAGGAAAATAGTTCAATAAAAACAAGAAAACAAAGTAAAATGTAGGTAGATTTATCTCCACGACACGTTTTACCTGTATAAAACAATAAGTTATACACATGTCATATTTATACATCTGATACAGCTCAGATCACCTTCAACACTCAGTCACACACCCAGGGCCGTTTCAAGGCTTTTTGGGGGCCAAGGCAAAATGACCCCCCCCCCCCATAACTGGGCTCCCCAGAAGCCTCTGTGTAATTCATGCCCTCTCCAGTAGTGTTAATTATATGGTGTTTATAAAAGCCCCTCAGACATGACTGACATGTTCTATTATTATCAGATGAAAAACTAAATTATCAGACATGCTGTCTCATCTGCTTCTTTTATAAACTGGCTAAAAGTAACAAAACCATTTGAAAGCCACTATTTGTGGATTCTCTGAAAGTTTCCATGGAGTGTGCGACAACTTATTTTTTCATTGATCCTATCGTCTAATCTCACAGCTGAAACAAGCATCCTTAATAATCTGTGCACAGGAAGCTTACCGATGCTGTAGTAAAACAAAAGGTATAATAATTTATTATTAATAAAACCTTGTTGCAGCACTAAAGCAGAAAAATGAGATTTTGCATTAAATATGCAAAATATTTACATATGAATTGTTTTAGAGCCCTTTAATTGGCAGAATCTGATATTAATTTAGTTCTTACAAAAAATGGGTCCCAACGTGGTTTGTGTGGTGTTGCCATAGTGTGACGTCATAGGCACAGATCCCCTTTCCTCTTGTTTGGAAATGGAAATATGATCACCCTGTACTAAACAAACTGTCCACCCGGGCTTTTGCACTGCACAGAGACGCTTCGCTGCCTATGACTGGACGTCAGTTGAGAGTCAGTCTCATGCAGACTGACCAATGAAGAGAGGGCCTCAAGTTAAGACTCTCTCCTCATTGGTCAGTCCACACGAGGTGGGTCAAAGGTTACCCTGAGCGGGTTACGTGATGTCAGACATTCAAGTATTGAGTATATTTACTGCATATTACAGTAAAATATTCTGTATGTGACCACATTATGGTGATCCTTGGGTCGTGATGATGGGGCCCTTGAATATTGTTGCCCAGGGTACAACAAAGTGTTAATCTGGCCCTGGGTGTAGACGACAGCGGTCTCGACGGACAGATGTTAAGAAAAGAGAGCTTGACTCCGTCCGTCCTTGGGGGCCTGCTGGAGAGCCCCGCAAGGACGGATAATAGTGATGCGTGTCTCAGCACTGACGCAGACGCATGACTGACCCCAAAATTCCACTATCTCCGCTCCGCCCCCGCTTTCCGCTGCCGCATGCTTCCGAACTCAAATCATACTGTACCCGCTCTACAACGGCTCCGCTCCGGTGCGGAGACCTGAGGTGCGCAAACAGGCATGCGCTGGATTTTCGAGATCTTGCGATACAGTCCAAGCAATAAATTCGGAAGTTAGATCCAAACACCCGTTGTGTGGGAGAAGCATCGGCATGAACTGTTTAATCTGCCCATCATTTGTGTTGAGAGATCAGCAGTGTTTGGATCAACAAAGGGTGACTACTTTGATAGTGGAAACTGTATTTATGGCTTACTTTTGTGCATTTAAACTTCAGCCGCCATTGATAGTTGTTAAAAGTTGTTACACCTGTGCATATGAAACAAAAAACGCTTTTTGTTTATCGATTTATTGTGAAATAACGGAAGTTGTGCTTGCTCCCTTTCCTGTTGGGCGGTTGTGATTCCTGTCCGTTTACTGCGGAGGTGCTCCGGCGTCCGGCGAAAATAGAATCGATCCTATTTTTGCCGGATGGCGGAACGGCCGCAGTAGTGGAACAGCTCTGACTGACTACAACGGGACCGTTTTTGCTGTGGAGATCGTGCCGGAGCGGAGATAGAGGAATTTTGGGGTTAGGCTTAAAGGCTGTAAAAAGGTCAAAGGTCGACTCCTTCAGCATGCTGGATCATTTAATGAATTAAGATAGAAAAAAAACTAATAATGACTTTTCAAAAGCAGAAATCCGATTTGTGTACTATTTTGTTCCTTCTAGCAACACAATGATGAGGAAATTTAGAAACCTGGAAAAAAATCCCAAACATGAAGAGAATTCCTCATGAAAACCTGTTTGTCTCTGAGGCTCTTTTAGAGGTAAAACTCTTTTTCCTCCTCTTTCATTTAAATGTCATGAAACAGCATGAAACCATCAAGTTGGGTTTAGCAGTGATGGCTGTCGTTGTCATGGCGACACCAAGGGTTGTGTCTGCCCTGTTGGGTGTTTTATGAGTCCAGCAGACCCAAGGCTGGGGTTCATGAGCCACTGTGTTCGTGTTCAGGCAGAAGTAATCAACCAAAGAAAAGAGAAGAGTTTTCTCTTCATCTTTAAATCCTCATTCAGACAGAGGTCTCACACACACACACGCACACACGCACACACACACACACACACACATGCAAACGCACACACACACACATGCATACACACACACACACACGCACACATGCAAACGCACACATGCATACACACACACACACGCACACACAC